ACCATACAAATATAACTATTACATGCTGTACGCTTGCGTGAAGCAATCATATTGACATTAATTCTGACATTACTATTACATAAATAAAATTTATTAATAGAAAGAGATATATTTTTTGGATTTTTTTCCCTTCACAAGGTCGTAGAGTATGTCTGCAAATTGCGAATCAAAGAGTTTGAAATTAACTTTTTTATTTCACATAGCTGTATTATCAGCACCAATCTTGTAATTATTGATGGTTTTTTTGTGATAAAAAGTAAAATTTAGTTCTTCGAGAATTACAATATTTGCAAACTACAGAACACGAGACACTTTAGTCATGCGAACAAAGTCAAGAAATAGATCAATATCACGTCCGTTTACAGAAGAATAAATCGATACCTTTATGACCGTGTAAGGTCGTAATGATATATTGTTACATCCGTTGAATGAACTTTACCATGGAAAACTTTGATTAAAATAGAATTTATAATGAACGAAATATAATATATATCTTGTGCTTTCTTCCAATTGCCAAACGAATTGTTTATTCGAATATTTAAGTATCTTGTTTGCAATCTGTTGACATCTCACAAAATGCGTAAACTGTAAACAGATAGGCAAGTTGGCTAGTTTTTGGTGTCGATGTGCTGCCAAATTATAATTCTATTTTAAACCAAGATTTATAACGAGAGCCACTCATAGAACAGTTCTATTCGCGTGCCTCCACAATTAGACGTCTTTCGACTTCGTAATATTAATCCTGATCTTAATTATATAATTAATTTGCAAGATGATCCGTGAATACGTATTACGAAAGCTAAAATTCTCTAATACTTCTAACATCGGTCTGCGATATATCACATCTGACAAAGGACGGATATAAATATCCCAGTGCCATCATTGCCTCGAATGTCTTGCATCAAATTCTTGCTATCAAATAGATTTCGCATATGTCAATCTTTTTGAAATTCAAATCTAGAAATCTTATGGTCAATTAAAAAAATTTTAGGTCAGATCCATGAATATCTCTCTGCATTTGTAACGATTAGAAACTGATCTCATTACAAATTAGATCAGCTTCATCAAAAGGGGAGCTTCTATTTTGCAAATATTGTAAGATCTCAACACCCACTCGCTATTTGTGCCGATCAACAACATTTTCCTAGCTCTGAAATTTTCTCCGTTTAGTTACATGAAACTGGCTCAGTGCCGTGAACTGATGCGTTTCATCATCTATATAAAAGAGAAAGATCAAATCGTCGAGAGGGAGAATCGGCAAGAATACTTATAAGCAGAGCACATCTATCGTCCAGATGGAACTGAATGAGACGGAAGAGTTGCTCAAGTCTCATCTGCAAGAGAATAATCTTTTGCAAGATGAACCCAGGTCATGGATCGTTGGTCGTTCTCCTCTCGGAGGTCGCGGCATATTTGCCACGCGAGACATACGAGCTGGCGAGCTAATCTTCATAGACGTCCCATTGTTAATAGGACCACGATGCTACAGCAAGTACTTGCCAATGTGCGTCGTTTGTTACAAGAACAATTGCGCTCTGTTCCCCTGCGATCACGGCTGCGGTTTGCCGATCTGTTCTACAGAATGCGAAAATTCCACGGGGCATGTCCAAGGGGAATGCCGATTCTTGAGAGAATGGGCGCCAACTTGCGGTTCTACCTGGTCTAAAGACCTGTTACTCGCAGTAGTGCCGATACGTGCTCTTACATTATCGAAAGATCAGTATAAACTCTTGTATACTCTTGAGTGTCATGCGAATCTTACTCGCAACTACGAGGTACGTTTTCTTTATATACAAGATATCACATAAGTATTCCATTTATACAATAAATGTCTAGCTTCGAAGACTGGAAAATGAATAGCTGAATCTTCGAAATAATATTGTTTGTTACTTTATAAATTACTCAACAAAATTAAAGAATCACTTAAAATCAGCGCTAAAAGAATCAAATTAAAAGGTAACTTTTTAGTACTGATTTTAAATGATCCTTTAATTTTGAGTAGTGTGTACGGCAATAAACAATATTATTTTAAAAATTTAGCTATCCACCATATAGCTTAGAGAATGTGATTGACATACTCCTACTCTTATAATTGATGTATGTACTTGAACCAAGTTATCTTGTTTAATCTATTGTGTCTCTTTACAATTTCCTCATGTATATAAAAAATATAAAAAAATATCGTATAAAATAAAACATCTTACAATATGCGTTCTTCAATTTTGCCATAGATCGACTTGCTCAAGAGAAACGTAGCCAAACTTCCTAGCGAGGAGCAAATGGAACTCATGAGACGCACTTGCGGCGTCTTCAATACAAATTCATTCGAAGTTGTGGTTGTACCTTCACGGGACAAGGACTACACCACGAGTTTACGTGGTCTTTATCCAATGGGAGCATTACAGAATCATTGTTGCGTGCCAAATACCAGGCATCACTTCGACGATCAGCAACGGTTGTACGTAAGTGCCGTGTTGCCTATCGCCGCTGGCGAAGAGCTCACCATGTCCTATACCGATCTGCTGTGGGATACGTCGAGCAGAAGGCAGTTCTTAAAAGTCACCAAATGTTTCTCCTGCAGTTGCAATAGGTGCTCCGATCCTCTGGTATGTCAATACTGCGACAATATCTCGCAACGAAAATTTATGCAAGATATTCTTATTTCTCCTAGGAATTCGGTTCTCAACTCGGCACGCTTCTCTGCGCGAAGGACAATTGTTCAGGATGCTTGTTACCTCGTAATCCTCTCAATCGTAAATCATCCTGGATTTGTGATAAGTGTAAAACCAGCGTAAATTACAAACAGGTGGTATCTAACAACTGAAATATAACGCTACATTTTTATATGTAATAAAAATAATTGAAATAATCTATAACGACTCTTTTTATAAGAAGAATAAATGTTTTTTATGTAATTATTAATTTTAGAAAATATAATATTTGCATAACGCATATTTGCATGAACATATAATTAAAATTACAGTATTTCGACAATACCAAAGTCTACCCTGATTTCTTTTATGAATGTGAATTTTGTTGCTTTACAGATCGAACGTATTCATTCAGGATTGAACATATTTGTATCCGATGCTATGTATAAAACTCCACGAGAAATTCTAAGATTTACAGAAGCAGTACTATCGAGATTGGTACCTGCCACTAATTATATCATGATGGATATGAAATATCGTATAATATCTTACTTTGGCAGAGTCCCCGACCTTAAATGGGAAGGTAAGATATACATAATATTATATAAATATTATTGACATATTTTATAGAAGCCTTTTATCTTTATGTTGCTCAATACATGTGTACGTCATAGTAAAATGTAATTCTTATTGTTGCAGATCTCACGGATACAGAACTTAGAATTAAAAAGATGTATTGTGACGATATACTTTCTGTTTTAGACACTTTGAGTTCTGGAGATTCTATTAAAAAAGGTAATGGTAATGATGTAAGAAATGTTTTTCTTCTATATATTAAATTTTATATGCATATATGTACACACACACACACACACACACACACACACACACACACACACACACACACACACACACACACACACACACACGCACGCACGCACGCACGCACGCACGCACGCACGCACGCACACACACGCACACACATACGCACACGCACACAGATACATTATTAGTATTTCTATAAAGTATTTCTTTTCTTCATTCTTATTGTTATATTACGAGATGTACAGGATAGAAAAGATCGAAATGAAATATTCTTTTTTCTATGAAAAGAATATTCTATAATAATGTCAACGTAAATATGTTAACTTATTCATGTCAAAATGAAATATAGATTAAAAAAAAAAAAATATTTTAGCACATATTATTTTAAAAGTAAAAAAGTTAAAATAAAATTTTTAATGTATTTCTAATATATTCCAGGTCTTGTTTTATACGAATTGTATCGTACAAATCTTGAATTGTTTAAACGCCAGATTTCTGATGATAACGATGAACAGACATATCTGCACATAAAAGTACGATGAATAATTTATGTTTATTATATGTATCCTAATTATTATTTTTAATCTTTTTTTTCTTTTAGAATGACGATAATGAACAACTGTTAAGAGATGCAATGAGTATATTACAAAACGATGTTGGCGCAGCCTGTGTTCGCAAAAACGATTAATGCAAACGACTATTTTGACACTGTTCTTATTTATTGCCGATATTTGTATACATGTGTACATATATTACGAGAAAGCAAAGAATGCGTCTACATTACAATTTTCACAATTTATAATTACTTATTTGATACTGTATTTTTAAATTCATAAACATACATTGTGTATAATACAAAAATAGCT